ACCCAGCATGAACCTTCCTCAGAAAGGCAAGCCCATGGCTCAGCTCTGGGGCTCCTGCTGGGCAGCAGCACACCTGAGGGAGCTGGGCCTTGGCTGGGCAGCCTGGGCCGGGCCCAGGGCAGACGGTGCTGGGTCAGCCCTGCCTTAGGCTCCAGCACAGCAGAGGGTTTATCCCAGCAGGGGCTGGCCGTGGCAGGAGGTGCACGGGGGGCCAGCAGACGTCCCCAGGGATAAAACCAGACACCACAGCTGTGCTCTGCCCTGCACTGGTCTGTCCTACCTGTGGCAAATAAGGCAGCAACAGGTTGTGGGGGTCCTCTCACCCCCCTGGCATGTTCCTCCTTGAGAAGTAGCAGCAGATTAGCCTGGAGCCCCTCTGTGCGGACAAAAGCTGCCACAAAGGGCATTAGGCTTCAGGATTGGATTACCATGTGGCCACCTGTCATCCCCACTTTGTAAATTTATCTCGCTCTGGGTCTGATTTTCACATTGGAAAAGTTTGCACCTAAACTTTCCCCCCCACAAAATGCCCTGCCCAGTGCCTTTCCAAGTAACAGCCTGGCTGAGTTCATCTTAGTATCCCTTCTTATTCCAGGCTTCAGAGCTGTGTGGGGCTGGGGATTAGGGCTGTTTGAATGAGGAGAGCCTTTATTACATTAGTTTAAGTGGTTAATAGGTAAAGTAGGCCAATCCATCTTTAGACTAAGCCTATCACTTCGCCTACGAAGGGTGCAGGCTTCACCGAGGAAATATTCATTAAAGGAAAAGCTTTTCCTCTGTCCCTCTTGACATGTTAATAGCTCAGGGTTAGGGGCTTGCTCTTTGCCTGTGCAAAATTCATAGCTGTGCAAAATTCATAGCTGTGCTCATGCAGCAGCTTCCTCCCCTTGCCGGGACCCAGCTGTGGCAGCTCTGCCCCAGTCAGCAGTGCTTTCTGGCTGGGCTGGGTGGGGAATCAAGGATGTTGGGAGTCTGCTGGTGCTCCTCATCCTCGTTTCCTTCTTCCATGCTCAATAAGCAGGTGCCTAGTCACTTCCCAAGCAGGGAAGTGGGGATGGAGTTCAAATGACAGGTAGAGGCAGTGATTTGGTGCTGGGACTCTCTACTGTGGGATATTCTCAAGGCCAGAAGTATTTGTGGGTTTGAAAGGATTAGACAGTTCATAGTCACTATGAAATAGGATGATTTGGATGCAGATGCTGTCTCCAGAGGTCTTTGAACTCCAGGTTGCCAGAAGGCAGGAGGATAACAAGGCAGGAGGGATGGCTTGCCAAGGTTTTCATGCTGTATTTTCTACTACAGTTTCCACTATGGCCCTCAGTGGTGTCTCTATCCAGCCCTGGGGCTCAGTTGATCTCTCTGTTTCCCACAGCCTGGTTCCCTCTCTCCTCTCCCTTTGCTCTCCTGTATGGACAGCAGTGGTAGCTGCACCTCTGCAGCTTGTGTCAGGCAGTGCTGGCAGGAGCTGCCCACATCTCCATGGTGCCTGAGAATCCTCCACGGAAACAGAGGCTCCACAGTGTTCACAAGCTGCCTGGGGTGATCTGTGTCCACCTGAGCTGAAAGCAGGTTTCTGCTGGACCCCACTCCTTTCTCCCAAGGGGCTGCATCCCACCAGGCCATCGTGGCTCCTCACCATCGCAGCTCCTCTTTCCCCTCCCAAAGCAGCAGCTGTAGTTTAGCATGGCCCTTGCTGTCTTGGAGCCCCAGGAGCAGATATGCTCAGCTCTGGATCTGGTCCTCCTCCCACCAAAGTGTATGTCCAGTGTGTTGTGTTGGAGCTGCAGTGCTCTGCTGGGCCAAGTTGCCCTTCTCCAGCTGTGGCTTGAATGGGAATAAATTATTCTTCTTTCCACCACTATGAGTTCAGATCAGCCAACGTACCAGTTCCTTCTGTCCCTGAGGCTCTGCTGTCTCTGGCTGCCAGGATGATGGATGGTGCCTCTGTGGGAGATTATGGAAACCATGGGAAAGCTCCCACAACCGACATGCCCATGCAGTAAAACTTTGCTTTCCTGGATGTGGTGTTGTCAGAGGTTCAAACGACATCTATGGGCCACAATATTTGGCTTCTCTTGCAGCTGTCTTTCTTTCATGCAGCCACTTTACAAACAAAGCAGAGTCTGAGACAATCTTGAGGGTCTCAGTTTCGGGCTGTGCCTGGCACCCATGTGGTACAATGAAGGGAGAGCAGGGGCCCGAGGGCTGTTTCTGGTGGATCCAGGCCTTGTACGTGGGATGAAGGTTTTGCTTCTACCTCTGCTCACCTCAGCCCGTGTTGGCCAACCTGAGGGCAGTAGGTGTGTCAATGTGCCTTGTTCTGCTTTGCTTGCTGTGATGGGTCACCAGCAAAATGTTCTTAAATTGCCAAGAATTTAGGCCCTCTCCAAAAATAACAGTCTGGGAGGTTTAGGCTTGCCCAGAACTGAATACTTTCAGCCACAAGTGCAGTGTGGGCCCAGGAGATGAACTGCTCTGCAAAGGGGCTGATGCCAGGCCAATGGATGCCTCTTAGGTAAAGAGCTACTCCCTGCTTTCTTCCACTTATGGTGAGCTCCTCTGTATTTGCTGAAATGCTAATTAAGAACCTGTGTTTCCCAACTGAATCAACTGACTTGGCACTCCATCCCCAGCAATTTCCTCCTGTTTCACAGCCCTGCCCAATGCCTTTCTTGTGCAAGGAGGGGAAAAATAAACCTTGCATCATTCCCAGGAGACTGATAAATACTGGCTGTAGTAGTCCTGGATGAGAAATCAGTCCCAAAATGCAGGGCCCCATACAACCAGCAATCCAATGAACCTGACCTAAAGCTGAAGGGCTTCAGTGGAACACGGGCGACCTGAGAATGTTTTGGGAATCTTTCTCCTCTCTAGGCAGGTCCCAGGCCATTAAGGACTTCATGGGTGGAAAACAACCTCTTAAATCAAGCTGAAAAGCAGTTGGTGGCCAGTGCAGGATGTAGAACTTGGGTTTAATGTGGCCGTAAAAGGGGACACACTTAATGAGCAAATGTTGAAATCTACCTCAGCCCACGACAAATTTAAGAGTTGCTCTGAGTGCTATTGACTGGCCCTATTCTGTGACAGCATTATGGGGTTGCAGAGTTGGCCAGAAAGGCAAAGGATTAGTCAGAGTTTTATTCTGGTTGCTGGTTTTGGCACACATACTAGCTCCTGCATTCCAGAAGCTCTCACATCTCAGGTATCTGGTAGACCAGCATGATTTTTATCTGCATGTGAAACTCCACTTGTGTGGACTTGAAATCCCAGCCTTCAGGGTTGCCACCACCTCTGGCCATGACTGGAGGTTCCACAAGCTGATATCTCCTTCCTCCACCATCCACCTCGTCCATTGCCACTCCTACCTGAGTGCCATGCAGGTCTGGCACAGGGATTGTCTCCCACCTTGGCGCTGTGGGGAAGGGGCTTTATGGGCAGCCTGTGGGCACAGCTCACAGGGAGGATGGGGGCGCAGCCCCTGGGTGCCCCTTGCCAGTAAACACATTGCACAAAGCAATGCCAGAGGCTGGTGAAGTAAAATACCAGGTACAGTGTGAGCTCACCAATGGTTGCATAAACAGCTACTGACCAAATTTCATAGACATGGGATGATTTTGGATGCAAACAGACCTCTCATTCCTGGATCCCCTGTTATTTGCCCTCAGAACAGACTGGTCAGCTTTCTTCCCTTGCATTCTTAATAAGTGCAACCATTGGCTTTAGCACAAATTATCAGTGGCTGTTTTAATTGCAAGAGCCCTGGTGATCTTTGCTGTGGAAGCATGAAAGCAGTCAGGGAGGAGATGGCTGTGGGAGCAGCCTCTGTGTGGTGTCCTACAGCTGAGGGAAGCACAGCTTCAGGCTTGCAGATCACACGCTGGCTGCTTATTTCTCTGTGCTGGGTGGATGCTTTGAAAACTTAATGAAGTTTTATAGCTTTAATTTTGTACTTGACTCCCCTTTTGCCTTTTCTTTTCAACCGTCTCTCAATCGAGAGCAAATGAGTCCATTAGGGCTATAAAGGGAAAGAACTGGCAAACGGTCTAAAATATTTTAGCTTGCCTAGTGAATAATAGGAAAAAATTACTCTTCCTGCTTCATGCCACTTCCATCAATTCTGCAAGCTCCCTACTCTTTCCCCATGTGGTTAATTAGGAATAGGCAGGGAATAAGGTGGAATTGCTGGAACCTTTAAGTTTTAAAAGTCCTTTGTGGACGTATGTCCTGCCCATGTGCTGAGGTGGTGTTCTCCACAGCTGTTCCCCATATCCTGACCTGCTGTAGCCCGTGGGGCAGTGCTGGGGTGGGGTTGTCCTCATTGTCTCTTGGACTGGGATGTGCTGACGATGCCACGGGCAGCTCTTGATGCCCTTTCTTGCTCATGTGAGGAAACAAGTGATAGGGAATAGTAAAGCAGGGGGAGAAACTGGATACAAGAGGACACCTGTGAGTGAAGTCCTGCTGATGGTAAGCCAGAGAAAAATTGCACCCTCTTGCCTGAATTGGGAAAAGTTTTGCATTTGGAATGCTGAGGGAAAATGAGGTGAACATACTCTAGTGATCTCCTGCTTTTCTGCTGTACCATCCTCTCATTCCCACAGGAAAATGAGCTCTGGATTGGGGCTGAGGTCTCAGTGGTGTAGTCATGAGCCAAAACAGCCACCTCAGGTGCAGCTCAGGACCCATCCTGACCAGTCTAGAGCTGGTGTGGTACATTCAGCCATGGTCCAAGCACAGAGTGTAGCTCAACTAATCCACTCATTAATAACTAGGGGATTACTCAACTGGATTTCTAATACAGTGGCCTTTAATAATAATCCTCCCTTAATCCCTAAATCAATGGGAAATGGATTTGTCTGTCTGATCCAAATGGCCTGTGAAGGCATTCTATGGAGAAGAATTCTTGTGTATCTATATGTGGACATACCTGTAAATGCATATGAATGTTTTTGTTCCTCTTCCTTGCCCTTCTGACCCATGTCTGTGTGTTTTGCTGGCAGGGAGCTGATGCCCAGGACACTCGAGGGGCAGATCACCATGGAGAAGACCCCCAGCTACTTTGTGACCAAGGAGGCACCGGCCCGCATCTCATCCATGAGCAAGGGCACCAAGCTGATCGTGGTGGTGCGCGACCCCGTCACCAGAGCCATCTCGGACTACACCCAGACCCTCTCCAAGAAGCCTGACATCCCCACCTTTGAGAGCCTGACCTTCAAAAACAGGACTACAGGCCTCATAGACACCTCGTGGAGCGCCATCCAGATCGGCATCTACGCCAAGCACCTGGAGAACTGGCTGCTGCACTTCCCCATCGGGCAGATCCTCTTTGTCAGCGGGGAGAGGCTCATCAGGGACCCTGCAGGGGAGCTGGGCAGGGTCCAGGACTTCCTGGGCCTCAAGAGGATCATCACGGACAAACACTTCTACTTCAACAAAACCAAGGGCTTCCCGTGCCTGAAGAAGGCGGAGGGCAGCAGCAAACCCCACTGCCTGGGCAAGACCAAGGGCAGGACCCACCCTGACATCGACCAGGAGGTGGTGCAGAGGCTGAGGGACTTCTACAGGCCCTTCAACATGAAGTTCTACCAGATGACAGGGCAGGACTTTGGCTGGGACTGAGCCTGGCATGGGAAAGTCCCCTGTTATTACTTGCCTAGCAGGGTTTGCTTATATAAAGAGATATATATGTATGTAAAATGTACAGAAATCTATTTTATAATAATTTATTTTTAATTCCTAAGCAATTAATTCACTAAGCTGCCTAACCGCACTGGCTAGAACGGTAGCCTGTAACCTGTTTAACATTCCACGGTGTTTAATTCTAATGTCTCTCCTTTCCTTGGTTTTTTGCCCTTCTTCTTTGTCTTTGGTTTGGTTTGTAACAGACAGTGCTTCCACTTTTCCTAAACAAAATTTGTATTTAAAAATCAAAAGGAGGGAGGGAAAGCACAAGTTTATTTTTGTTACGGGTATCTGGCCTTTATAAATGGTTGCTTTCCCTATTCCAGTGTCCCAGTCTCTGCTCCGCTGTTGTGCTCCCTCATCCCACATTTTTCTGGCTAGTTCCATGGCCCAGGGGGGTCTTTCTCTGGGGTGGGTGGGAGGAAGGCTGGGCATCCCTGCACCCCACATACCTCTGCTGAGCAGCAGCATGTTTTCCCAGTGGCTGTAAGCCTGGGAACCCCAAGCCAAGGGCTCCTGCTCAGGATTGCCAGGAGGGCAATGTGCTCTTTTTCTAGCAGACAAGCTGCAAAGCTGGTTGCATAGGCAAAGCTCTCAGTACAGTTTTCCTTCCTGCTTTTTGTCCAGGAGGTTCTTTCCCATAGTCCCTCTATGCATTTAAAATCTTTACTGCAGGACAAATGTAAAATGCTGTGTCTGTGTGTGATGTGTGGTGCTGGTCAGAGTGACTTGCAGAAACTGTTGCTCCAGGGACACCCATGCACACCAGGCACTGCTGGGAGATGGCAGTGCCTGCAGCACCTGGAGCACCCTCCACCACCAAAGACACCAGCAGAACCACTGGGAAAACCTCAGGTGCCTGCCTGGCATCATGCCCAGCATGGAGCGTGTCCCAGGACATGGCACAGGCACTGTTTCCTCCAGCCCCACAGCCGCCACAGCACGTCCCAGTACGTGAGACTGGGGAGCAGCACCCTTAGCCCTCTTAATTCCATCTTAATTCTATCTGTGGTCTCTCCCGAGGGAGAAGCGCTGCTTTACCAACAAGGGTGAATCTGTAGGAAAGCAGGGGGGAATCTGGGCACGCTGGGGTTGGGGTACTCCTAGCAGTCCCTGGGTGCCCTGGCTGAGCAGCCAGGCAGGACAGGAGGCTGCAAACATGCAACCATAATGAAATCCTTCTCGGATGTAAGCACTTGCTGTGGGACTCCAGGACAGGTTAGGTCTGTCCTGAGAGCTCTACCAGTGTTCTGTGAGCCCAGGAGGTCCTGATAAGCACTGTGTGTGTCCAATGCCTTATCACCGCTGTCAGAGGGTCTGCCAGCTTGACTGCAACACTTCCAGGGCAAGGTGGCAGCAGAAGTGATCTTCTCACTGAATATTTAACAGAAAGAGAGCTCTGATGTCTCTGGGCAGCAGAACTCCCCACTCCTCATCTGCAGCCCTGAAAAGATGCACTGCAGTGAGCATCACCTGGTGCTGCTGTGGGAGCACTTCCAGAGGCAGTGTGAGCGAAACTGGAAACAACAAAAGCACCAATGGGTAGAGCATCTAATTTCATATGCATTGCCTATAGAAATCCCTGCTCTGCACCTCTCCATAGTTACCTGTAGCTCCCCCTTAGAGCTCCCCATTGTAGCTGTGCTCAGCTGTGGTGGGGCCCATTCAGTGTTGTTTCCCAAATGTTTGTTTTACTTTTGCAGCCTCCTCACTCTAGCCTGCCCCTTCCGTCTCTCTGCTGTGGCTGTTGGGTGATGAAAATGTTCCTTAGAGCCTGGGCTGCTCTGTCTGGGTCTCGAGCTAGTCCTGCTCCAGCAGACAGAGCAAAGAGCAGGCTTGGCTCTGGGTCAGCTGCAGGTGCCAGGGAGCTGCCCTTCAGAGTTCTGTATAAACCTGAGGGCTTCTGGCCTGCTCAGCAGTGTCACACCTCCAGAGGGATTTAGGAGCTCGCACCACCATGTGTGGGTTCACCCCTGAGGTGGAGTGCATGTGGGTGACCTCAAGGAAAGGGAGATTTTAAGCATAACAGCATCAGGCTGAGATGCCTACAAAGCTGCTGTGAGCAGGATCCAAATCCCTCCCTGGGGTTTGCCTCCAAACACATCTTCCCACAAACAGGGAAGTTCTCCTTGTCCTGAGCCATTTCTAGTGCAGAAATGACACTTTGGGCCAATGCAGTCTGACTTCAGAGGGTTCAGGTGGGATGAGGGACCTGCTGGGCTCCGTAGGCTGACAGCCCCTGCTTTCCCTCTGTCCTGCAAAATCCAGCTGCAGGCCTGAGCAGCTGGGCAGATCTATGCACTTTTGAGGGGTTTGGCTTCAGCTCCAGCCAGGTCCCTGGCTCTGTTTCCTGCTGCTGGACAGGTGATGAGTGCAGGAGTGTGTCTGCTTTATCCCAGACCCTGCCACTGTTGGGTGACCAAGGGGAAGGAGCTGCAGGCACTAAGAAAATGCTTCCTGGTGGAAAAACAAGTGATTTTTGGTTCTCAAAACCTCAGTCTTCCTTCTAGCAGCTTATGCAATGCATGGAAAGAAGCTTGACCTCTCCACCTGGCCCTTGGTGAGCTCCCACCTCCCTGTGTTTCACTGGTGGAGCCTCCAGGACCTGTGTGCTGGCATGGGCTCCTTTCCAGGCGCTTCCCTCCGGAGTCTCTGCCGGCTGCTCAGTGCCTGAAGAGTTCTGCATCCCCCTGCAAGTCTTCCTTGCTTGTCTGCAAACAAGTTTTTAATATCCCAATGCCTTCCTCAGCTGTACAGCAGAGTGTGGGCTTAATTTGTATAATCAAGCCCTGCTGCGAAGAACTCTTGTGGAGCAAACTTGTTGGAGAGTGGAAATACAGAGAGTGAGGAATAACACTTCTAACCATAAGCAAATTGTCTCAATATCCTTCATAATGAAGTCTGCAGTAGACTTTTAATGTAAAAAAGCCTTACCTAACAAATATGACAATGAAGGTGAATTCTCTGTGGTGTTTATCTGGTTGCTAATTTGGAATCCGTGCATTTTTTTAAAATACCCCCCTTATTTCTTTTAAATTAAGCTTGGAGGTGTGATTAGAAGTTTGATTGGTTGGTTATTTTTTTCACATTGTAACTTTAATTTATGGCTGAGTTTCATTCAGTCCTTTATTCTGAAGTGCAGTATAGCTATCAGTGATGTGTTGCCTGTAACATGGTTCTATAGTCCAGTAGCCAATTTGTAAAAAAAAAAAAAAAAAGTACAAAATAGAAAAGAAAATAAACAAAAAAAGCCACAAAAAAGAAAATATAAAAAAATAGGTTATGGAGTATTTTGTGGTATGTACAACACAAATTAATTTTACACAGAGAAAGATGTTTCTAGGAAAATGAAATTCTGATAATTCATACTATTTGTATGAACAAATAAAAGCTCTATTTTCCGAAGCGACAGGCACGGCTGTGTTCATTCGGGAGGGTTGGATGTGCTGTCCCTGCCAGGACTGTCCGTGCAGCTGGGCTGGCCCAGGGGCCGTGAAGAGCCTGGGGAGGGGGACACGGTGCTGGGCCAGGGCTCCCTGGAGCTGCTCTGGAGCCAGGGGCTGTCCTGGGGCACACAGAGGTGTCCCAGTGCTGCCCAGGCAGGGCTCTGGGGCTGCCCTGCCCTGATGCACACAGCTGCACCCAGTGCCAGCCCAAGTGCTGCCCAGGCAGGGCTCTGGGGCTGTCCTGACCTGGCCCTGCTGGATACACCCATCTGGGCATCCCCTGCTGCACCCAGCGCCAGCTCAGGGTTTCAGGGACTGCCCCTAGCCCCGCTGCGAGCACTGCATGAGCTCAGGGATGCTCCAGGACAAACTCAGTCCTTCACAGCTGCAATGGGGAACCTCTCCAGTGCCAAGTTCCTTTTCCAAAGCTTTACTCTCACTGTAGTGATGCTGATCCAGCCTCTGGGGTCAGTGGTTGCTGCTGCTCCCTCAGCATTTTTTGGCATAAAACTTCATTACCACAAAATTCAGAAGGTCCCAGGCCAGTGCTATACCATGCAGCACCTGAAGAATTAGATTTATATAATGTACCAAATGCCACTAAAAATAAATTTCAATAATTTCATTTTTCTTCGCAAGCCTTGCATCTGGTGCAGAGTAATTGATGATACTCTTTCAGATTGTCCATTTTTCAGAGACCTTCTAGAGAAGGAGTCAGAACAGAGCACAAGATTTAATTTAGCCATTTAGGAAGAATTTAACCTGGAAACCTCCAGCTGGTCCAGGGATGTAATTAGTTGTTCCCAATCTCTGGCAATGCTTAAACTCTATAGGTGTCTCATTTTTAAAATATGTAGATTTTACTTTAACATTCCCATGTAACTCTCAAGCAGCACAGCTGGATGACCTCAGCTTGATGGAGTTGAGCTGTTCCTTACCTCATTCTCACCTCCCCTTGATTTCATTCCAAACCAGGTGTGAATGCCCCAGCAGATGTCAGTCCAGGAGGCAGCCTGGATCTGAGTTCACCCTGATTTTACAGCAGCTCATGGAGCCCTGTCCCTCATTTCTGCATTTTATGCGAGCTGCTCCATTCTGGGTTGGAAAGCATGTGGGTGCCGTTCCTTCACAGGTAGGTTGGTGCTGCAGAGGAAAGGGAAGGGGATTCCTAGAGTCCTTGTGGGGTTCAGCATCTGCCCTGTCCTCTGTATATCCCTGAAAACTGTTCCCAGCTGTACCTGGGCTTGTGGATATTGTGGATTCATTCCCCAGTTTGGTTTGGGGACCATTCTCAGGTGCTGTTTGGCAAGAGCATCCAGAAGACAAGGATAAGGATGTCTGTGGCTCATGGGAGCCTGGATACAGAGAAGGGTTTGCTCTGAAGAAGATGGGCTGAAGGGTCTCCTTGTAGATCTGGAACCTCAGCTGAAGGAGGAAGTTCCTGAAGGCAAATGGATTGATGAAGAGGTAGGTGAGACTGCTGTGACATTGCTGCTAACCATGGTTATAGCCAAAGTGGATTTACT